CTCATGTTTCTCCTCATTTGTGCAAATTTTTGCAGTTCTGGTAACAACGACAGCTACCACAATGAGCAAAGCAACGAAAATAAAAGAACTTACAGTCGGCCTTACAAGCAAACAAAAATAGTTCGCCATACACCCCTGTCTCTAAAGTATTTAGGCAAGGCAATTTCGAAAAAGAAATAATTCATTTTTTGGCCAATCCGCCTGTAAATGTCCATGGTGTGACGAAACATATAAAAAGGGGAAACCTATATTCGGACAAAATAAATTAAGTGTTGTTTTTTTTTTTTTTGAATTCGTACTTTAAACTGTACGGTGACTTTTTTTCTAGTACCGTTTTACGTTTTGTAGTTTACCGAAAACAAAAATTTATTTCTTAATTAAATTTGGTTTTGAAACCATAAAAGCTCTATACAATTTTTGAAAATAATTCCACTGAAAACAACGTGCAAACATTCTCATAGATGAACAATTCTATTATTTCCCCATACTTTTCGAGTCTTTCCCCCATTTCTTTAATACAAACATAACTATGAATATGCAACTGAATATTTTAGGCATTGCTTTCTTTCTTACTTTTTATTTGCAAGCATCATTTTCCTTGTTTGGAATGCTGTTTAGCAGTTATTTGTTTAAAACTGGCTGCCAGTGCTGCTCTTTGCTTCCTCAGCTTCTTATATGTATGCATTTATTCTAATTTAGCCACAAAGTAAGTTTGCACGCACGTGTTTAAACTATAGAAATATCGCTTGTAGCACTTCCAACTTCTTTTTAAATTTACCGGAAATGCCTGCCACCTCTAACAACTGTGCAGTATTTTTCAATATTTAACTACTTTTTTATTGTGCTTGACGCTTTTTTTTAAATCACTGTTCAAGTATTCTCATACATGCACATACATTTGCATTGCATAAATACCCTGTAGTCAAATGTACCAGTTGTAAACTACCTCACAACTAGTATGAACCGCATGCCCAACTAGTCAGCCAACTATCTTTTTTCCATGCAATCAACTGGTATTTTTAACATGGGGATGTAGTACGAGTTGGCAATTGTCAGATTTCGGTCAGATATATACCAGTCTCAGACTAGTTCAAAACAGACAGAAAAATACTGGACCGAGACCATTACTTTGGGACTCAAAAAATAAAATGAATTCATGAATATACAACAAAAACTTTTGATTAAGTACACTTTAAAATATTACACATTTTTTTTTAGCAGTCTTAGATTTGCCCAAAATTAGTGTTAATTTTTTTTAGTGTTAATTAAAAGAAAAAATAAATGCATAAATATTTCGAACATTCGAAGATAAATTCAAATTCATTTTTCATTAAATGCTATTAAAAGTAATAGCATTCAGGTGCAATAAATACTACAATTTTATCTTTTTTAATAATAGTAAATATGCAAAACAAAAATTTTGGAAATTAAAAAAAATACTTTAGTTCATTTTCACGTGAACTTAAATAAAAATAAAAGTTTTCATTAAATTAAATTTGTAC